ACATCATTATGTCATCATCTAACGCTAGCTGTCGTCTGGATCCCTTTCCAACTTGGTTAGTGAAGAAGTGCGTAGACCAACTAGCGCCTCTTATCACTAAAATGATCAATTCATCTCTGGAAAGCGGTACTGTTCCTGAAAATTGGAAGGTTGCGCTTATTGTACCAATCCTAAAGAAGTTTGGTCTTGACTTGGTATTTATGAACTTTCGTCCAATCAGCAACTTGCCTTTTGTTTCTAAAACAGCTGAAAAGGTCGTTGTCTTGCAAATCCTTGATCATTGCTCTGCGCATGCACCTCTAGCTGCCTGTCAGTCTTCCTACCGTAAACACCACTCGACTGAGACAGCACTTCTCAAGGTACAAAATGATATCCTCCTAAGTATGGATCGGCAAGAAGTTACACTCCTTGTCTTGCTAGATTTAAGTGCTGCTTTCGACACCATCGACCATGACATCATGATTAATTTGTTGGAGAATGACTTCGGTATAACGGATCAGGCTCTTTCTTGGTTAAAGTCTTTCCTGTCTGGCAGAAAGCAGCGCGTTGTTATTGGGCAACAACAGTCTGAAGATTTTGACCTTATCAGTGGAGTTCCTCAAGGAAGTTGCCTTGGACCAATACTGTTTATTATGTACACTTCTCAGCTGTTCATCTTGTCAAGAAGCACCTACCAACGGCTCATGGTTACGCGGATGATACAAAACTATATCTATCGTTTCGTCCAATTTCGACCGTATCGCAAGACCACGCCATTCAGGCAATGGAGGACTGCATTAGTGACATTCATAACTGGACGACTCATCATAGGCTCATGATGAATGATGACAAAACTGAATTTCTGATTATCGGATCCCGGCAGCAATTGGCCAAGATTAACATCAGTAATGTTCATGTTGGTTCCTCAGAGATCCTGCCAGTTAATTCTGTGCGTGACCTGGGAGCTTGGCTTGACGAAACCATGTCTATAGATGTTCACATTGGGAAAATCTGTAGCAAAGCCTTTCGTGGACTGTATAAAATCAGGCAAATCAGAAAGTTCCTGTCGGAGGAGTCTACAAAGACGCTTATTCATGCCTTCGTAACAGTGCATCTGGATTACTGTAACTCTTTGCTGTCCGGAGTCCCACAGCGGCAGATGGATCGTCTTCAAAAAGTTTTTAATGCTGCCGCACGGGTAGTTTACTATATCCCTCGCTATGCGCATATCACACCAGTATTGATGCGACTCCACTGGCTCCCTATAAGCTATCGGATCAAGTTCAAGATCGCTCTACTAGTTTTCAAAGCCCTGAAAGATATGGCTCCAACATATATACGTGAATTACTTGAACTGAAGCCACTATCTAGGTACGATCTGCGCAGCGATACTCAGAATATTCTAAAGGTTCCACGTACTAAATGTAAAACTTTCGGAGACCGACCTTTCGCTGTAGCAGGGCCTAGAGTATGGAATCAACTTCCACTTGACATTAGAACAAGTGCTACTGTGGACACTTTTAAGAACAGACTTAAAACTTATTTTTATAAATTAGCTTTTTTATAATACGATTATTAACTTTTTATATATTTCATCAATTAGAGACAACTAAATTAGTAGAACCTTTTTGTAATATGTTTTACATATGATATTATGTATTACTTTTATATTTTACTGTATGTAAAGCGCTTTAGAATATTTATATAATTTAAGCGCTATATAAATAACTGTTATTATTATTATTATTATTAAGCCAGATAAATCCAATAAATGATATATCAACCTCGTACCCAGGGCTTCTGCGCTCATACACTGCTCTCAGAAGGGAGAGCAATAAGCGCAGAAGCCCTGCGCAGATTACCTTATTTTAATAGCCCCAGCGACTAAACGCTCAACAGAGCGTCTTGTTACAACTTAATTACGAATCGAACACAAGCATAATGTACGTGCGCAGTAATCGGAAGGCATCTTCGGACGGCTGTGGATTTAGTGGCACTAAACACTTTTTATATATTGCGAAAGTCACCTCCCATATGTTGCCCGTACATGCAAAAACGTAATTATAAGCAACCGGAATGCTTTCGATTGATATTTTTCATGTTGCTACAAGGTTGTCCTTAACAAATTTTTAGGAAGTTTTTGGGCGTAATTTCGCGACAATAAGAAATTACCAGAACAACTACTTGTAACAAACATGTTGAGGAAACATTAAAAATGGGCTTTACGGCAGGTTCTTAGAGTCAAGGTATACAACGAAAAGATTCTCAGGCAGCGTATCCCTAGCCAGGAATATGATCTTATTCTGTTAAGCAATGCTACTACATGACAATTTCCTGTGTTTCGTTAATTTAACCCAATAATTTGTGTATAAATGTTGCAGACCTAATAGATGGAGCAAGTGCCCAGTTGGATATTTTCTAAATGGCTTACAAAGCCCGCTTCTGGAGAAAAGTCACTTGGCCAGCATAGCTGATGCTAAATGTTGCAAACTGCAGGGATTTCCTGGAGATTATTCAGATTGTTACGAAGAAGATGTTTCCAAAAGTTTTCACTACGACAAGGCAGGAATGTCCCAATGTTCCAAGGAAAGATATTTTATTGCAGGATTGTATAAAGCCAATTGTAATCAAATGTATTGTATTGGTAAATTCTTGTGTTGTCGAATGGAATACATATGACACACCTAGTAAATATTGAAAAGAGGTAATTTGCATACTATTTTGTACATAGACTTGTAGATGACCAGATAATGCATGTCCAGTTAATAATGGTGAGGACTTGAGGTCTATGTTATATCTGGAAAGTTAAGATATAATCGGGAGGTGTATATAGTACTTTAATTTTCTGCAATTAGACTACGGAAGGTTACAAGTTTAGACAAATTTCATGATCTGTCATTTGATATTTATTTACTGTATAGAGGTAATTATCGGTGAATAAAAACCGAGACAAAGTCGACGTTTCTATTCACGATAATCACCGAGCTTGAGCCGAATAATTGTTTTAGTATAATTTCATAGGTGATTATTTGGAAAAAAAACTTTAATAAAAATCATTTCTTTGTCATATAATCGACAAAACGGATTCGGCCGCCATTTCTAAAAACGCTTGGGTGATTATCGCGTTATAATCGCCTCAATGGCAACCAATCAGCGAGGATAATTTTCAATAATCGCCTATATGTAGTTATACTAAGGTATATGATATGGTAGAACTTACCATTGTATAAATACTGGTACGTTTGTGATCGTAAAATGCATTTATTCTCTTAGTTTATTCTCAGTAATACGCATTTCAATTTAATAGCTAATAAGGGAGCTATATTCAATGTGCAAATATTTTATTAAACATTATATTGACCATGTTTGGCCATATTAGGGCCCCGTTTACAATATGCCGGATTACTTTTCATACCGGATTAATTTTCACTCCGAAGTAAAAAAAAAACTAGAGTGTTTATACAGTTTACACTATGCCGCTTCTCCTCTGTTGCCAGTTCGTATCTTGCACTGTCGCCATGGAAACATTTTTGCCAATATATTAAAAATTTATTAAAACCAAGAAGTAAGACACGTTTTCTTTGTAAAGACCACTAAGTAATAACTTTGTTTAGAAAGCTAAACCACCAGACGTTGCTTCGTTCACGACTATTTCTTTAAATTTTGCTCTTTCGAAAGGGAAAAGTCAGTGTTATTATCGCTTTCTTTATTTGTCCTTCGCCAGAAATAGTAAGTGGTTGTAAGGCGGAACAAACAACAGCTATAACGTATTGTAAAAGCGAGAAAATAAGGAATACAATGTTCGAACAAATATACACGCCAAAACCAAAGCGGAGTGATTCTTGCTCCGCTTCCCGTGCAGGATTACTGTGGCGTAGTGTAAACAGCAGCCGAATTCGATATGAAAATCGCTCCACTCCAATGCAATCTGGTATAGTGTAAACTGGCCTAGCCTATAGGTTTTCCTGTAGACTGAAACACATGAAGAGCGCAATCAAGATGCATGTATGCTGACCCGTAGAAGTTATTTCTGTTGTTGCTAAATGCTAATCTATTTCTTGCTGTAGGTTTGGGTCGGCGAACGCTTACCGCCAGTTCCCTCACACGCTATAATTTAGCTGCTGCCTATAATTTCAGTAAACACGAAGCTCTAGGAAGATGTTCTGTGACTGGTTGATTATGACAATGACAAAAGACGTAATTAGCTTACATAAACAAATTAAAAGAATATTGTTCTTGCTTCGTTCTTTAAAAAATCCATTCTATAGCTTATTCTTTTGTCATTGTCATAATCAACCAATCACAGAACATCTTCCTAGAGCTTCGTGCCGATCCTATAATTTAGCTACATATATTTTTGCTGTTTTTGTCGTGAAGCAGAACTTCATTGTCAATCGGGAGAACCTGCAGATTGAGGTTGTTGCATCACTATCAATCCGTAGCTTTCTCAGTTCTGTCGTCACACCTACATTGGGACACACCGTTGAAGTTGTTTTAAAAAACGATTTGATATTGTGAATCACACAATCTTAATTAGGAAATTGAAAAATGTTAGGGCCGTCATGACCCATTTTGGCTTGGTTCCAATCATATATGTCTTCCCGCCTCCACTGTACAGTTATCGGTCTAGTTTCATCGTGCAATCGAAATATATATCAGTTGGTATTTTCCACTAGCGTCCATTCTGAGGCCTTTGTTGTCGACGTTCGAACGAAGACCCCTCCTCTGGAGTTGGTATAGTGGGCAGTGTTGTAGGACTCGAGTCCGAACTTGAACAATTTATTAATACAACACATAAAGTGTTCCATTTATTTTATTCGGACACATGCATGCACTGCATGTAATATATTATATTATACTGCTTTGCACAACTCTATATGTTTTAAACTTGAAATTGAATATGATCTGTTTGCCACCACCATATTACTTTGATTAGATTGTGACTTCTGAAAAAATGCATTAAGCGTCTGTGGATTGTGAAAATAATTATGATCATACTCAGGCGCGGTCCAGACCGTGGCAAAAGTGGCTCGTGCCACGGTCAGATTTTTCCCACCTAGGATTTTCCGGGGTTCACCTTTGTTGGATACTACATTAGACTGCATTACGCATTTTTAAGAAGTATATATTAGTTGTTTGAAATACAGCAAAATTGAGCAAATATAGGTCTATAGCAAACAATTTGAATAATATCTTTCGTAATTGTTCTCATATTACAGTAATATGTGCTAAAAGCAGGAAAAACGTCCGAAATATATTCCTTGTTCAATTGTATAATTATCCAGTTAAACACTGAACTATAAAAACCGCCGAAAGCGTGCCGAATTGTGCCGAACATGTTCGGAAAACAGTCGTAAATTCGAAGCTGCCATCACAGCCACAAAATGCCACGGTCAGTGTGCAAACAATTGCGCAATTGTTACTAAATATAGTAACTTTCTGCCACGGTGCAGCGTTGCAAACCAATCACAGCGCAAGTTGTGGTCATGTGCGCCACGATCTGCCACGGTGGCTCTATTTTGATTGCGCAATACGAATGATCAACAATAAAGTTCGATACTTGTCGACTTGACGGGATAAAGAATAATACATCACAAGCTACATGGATGCTATCAGGATGGAAGCTTTTAAAAAAGTCGATGTTCTTAGCAAGCTCGTCGAAATCTTTCAACAAGCAAACCTAAGCGAACATATTTCAGGGGAATTATCGCTCTTGAGGCAACAATATGATGAATTTATCACTGAAGGAAAAGCTGCGCCGTTGCATCTACTGGCAACATCGTGCTGCCAACGTGCGAATTTTCAAAACTGCAGTTCTCCAAGAGCTGGGCCTAATGAAAGATCTGGGCCTAATGTTCCTGTTAGGTAAGAATTTTTAATCGACTTATATTAAATTTGCATTTACGCTGGGGTCAGGGAATAATTTGTGCATGCAAATTTGTATGTATGTAATCTTTGTTTATAGTGAAATAGTAATATGATCTCGAACACATGGCGGTTAATAAAATACAAATTGCATTTATCCGCTATGTAGTCGTGCAATATTAGTAAAAACTCTGTTTAAAACTGCTATCAGTATTTTGCTACAGTTTACGGCTACAACATTTGATTGTCGACTGTAAAATGAAATGTTTACTTCAGTATTGGGTCTATATAGTCGTCTATTTGGTTTCACCAAGCTTTAAATATAGCGCCTTAATATTTGTAGGTTGACCAGGGGTCGGTTGTTCTAAGCTAAGGCTAATCCTTGGTTAAAATTTAACCTAGTGTTTTTGTTTGTGTGTTTCTGCATGCCTGTTTATTTCGAAGCTTTGAAGAAAACTTTCATTCATCCAGACAAGATTTCTGAAGAAATATTTCTAAATTGCTCGTGTGATATTACTCTGAGTGTATATCCACACCAGGCAGGGTTGAAAAATATGCCTGGCCATGGTGGGATTGGAACCTACGACCTTTGGAATACTAGCCAATGCTCTGCCAACTGAGCTATGCAGTCAGATCGGTTCGAGTATGCAATACTTTGGAACTGAGTCTAGTTCCTTCGATATCAGTGTAATCTAATAATCATGATATTTGCTGTGTTGGACTGTTGGTGTAATGTACTCAGGTGAATAAGATGCTTGTGTGATGTTACTCTGAGTGTATATCCACACCGGGCAGGCTTGAAAAATATGCCTGGCCACAGTGGGATTCGAACCTACAACTTTTGGAATACTAGCCCAATGATCTGCCAAGGAATACTAGCCCAATGCTCTCCCAATGCCTTTGCCAAAGGTCATAGGTTCGAATCCCACCGTAGCCAGGCATATTTTTCAAGCCTGCCCGGTGTGGATATACAGTCAGAGTAACATCACACAATATGGATTCTTGCACTTCACTTGGTGGAATTAATATTAGAATGTTAGGGTTAGTAATCCAAGTGAGAATATATACATTTTAAGACCTAACCAGGAACGACTGCGAAAAATGCAGCACAAGGTCCTCTGGTAGGAATTGAACCTACGGCCCTGCGATTCCGGTGCATTTCCGCAGGGCCGTAGGTTCATTTCCTACCAGAGGACCTTGTGCTGCATTGTGCACAGTCGTTCCTGGTTAGGTCTTAAAATGTATGTATTCTCACTTGGATTACGAACCCTAACATAATTTTCTAATAACATCACACAAGCATCTTATTCACCAGAGTACATTAGACCAACACAGCAAATATTTTTTAACAACTGACCCCTGGAGGGTGACTACCTCAAAGGTGTTTGTTGTGCATGAATATTGATGTTGTTGTGGATGATGTCATCCTGATCCAAATCCTGACATTAAAACCTAATCCCGAATCTAAAACTGCAAAGGAAGCTGCAAAAAATTACACATTCTCATCCATGGTATGCATGTTTGCCTTGTCCACAGTAATTCAGTGTGCCATTCAGTCATTCTACCCACTCACCAATGATACTGTAGCAAAAGAAAATTGGGATTCCTTGGATTCAATTGTACAATACAGTATATCCACAGGATTATCTTGATGGCAGTGCAATTGAATATGTCCATATCTTTCATTGTGCTGCAATGCCACCGTCTTATTTGGTTGATCGAAGAATTCTATCTACCAAAAATCATTTTGTTACCTTGTGCAAACCAGTTAAAGCACTTCAGCCACGAGACCATTATTTTAAAGTCTTATTTTA